AATTGAGATCGTTAGCCTTTGCAGCGCGTCACCCAACGCGTGTGGAACACGAGATGACGATCCCTTGGCCCCAGGAGGTGACATGGCCGACACCGAAACAAGAGCATGCTACTCGACTTACGGGACACCTTCGGAACGTACTGCTTCACCTCGATCGCGTAAAAGACCAACCAAAAACCTCAGGGGAGATGAGGACAGTCATTATGGCAACAATAAACCTGGTCGGGAAGGTCACAAGGACTCCTGACATGACGGCAGTACACAACAAGATAGCCATGATAAGTGCTGACTTGTCTCAAAACGTAAATGGACAAACACAAGAAATACAGAACATCAAGGATGAACTCAAGAATTTGACGACGAATGTACGAAAGGGCATGGCGGCTAGCGAAGCGGCGACCGTGGCGGCGAAAGAGGCGGCAGAAGTCGGCAAGACGGTAGCAGGCATGGCAAGAGATATTAAGAACAATGGTACACGGCATCAAACAGGAGCACCGATGAGCTATGCCACTGCGGCAGCATAGGGTGCTTTGGCAGCAGGCAAATACAACGTACACAACGCTTATACTGCTCCATCTCCAGCTCCCGTGCAGCGTGAGATCATCGTAAATATAAGAAACGCCTAAACAATACAGAGCTTACGCGCCATAAACCCGCGTACAATGAAAGCCCATGTTGACAATGCCAATCGCCCAGAGCGAGAACGAACACATAGCTAAGATCACAACCATGTCAGCCAATTAGCTTAAGAGTGGAGACCTTAGCATCAGGACAACCACCAACAGCGAGATGCAGACGCTCCGTCAGTTCACAGATGACTGGGTACCACGTCTCGGAAACGGAACGTCAGTACGTACTTACACATACGGAGTTCTTGTTCATGGCCTTCGCACAAGCACGATCAATATGGAGAACCTTGAAGAAGTCAGAGATACCATCCTACACGAAAACTGAGCCTTCCTTCCGACTGCGGATATCAAATACATAGGCTGGCTGACCAGGCAGCCACCACAGAAGGCAATGTCATCAATAGTCATCGAGTTCACAAAGCCAGAAGACGCCAACAGGATCATCGACGAGAATTTGGTCTGGCAGTGCGAGATGTGCCCGGCCGAGCGATACGAGAGGCAGTGCCGACTAAAGCAGTGTTTCCAGTGCCAAAAGTACGGCCACATAGGAACCCAATGCAAGGCAGCGAAAACATGTGGCTACTGCGCGCAGGAACACAGTTACTGGGAATGCCCGACGAAGACAAATCTGGAAGCCGCTAGGAAGTGTGTCATATGCCACGGCACACATGAGGCCTGGAGTCGGGAATGTCCAACCAGGAAGGAGGAGGTAGCCAAGATTAAGGCGATCCTCGCAACCCGTCCCAAATACCACACCCGACTTTGACGGCACACAATGAGATCGACCAGCGTGGACTGGACCGAATATCCCTCAGGAGATCAAGATCTACGAGAGACTTGACACTACACGAAGAATCAAGGACGAGTCGGCCCAGCTCTACGCAATGACGAGGACAGAAGAGGTCAGCACCAGCAAGGGACAAGGAGAACGAACCTCCGAGTGCTAGCCAAAGGCCGCAGAGAGCGGTGATACCTTCTAGAAGGGCGCTTGAGGCACCGGCAGCTAACGCACTTAGACAAGGGAACTCACAGATGGACATCGATACTGACGCAGACCTATGATAGAACAACCGCAACTAAATATACTGCAGTATAACGTACGCAAGGCGAAAGACACCGTCATGGCAACGCTGCTACGAGATCCGAGAGTGATAGAGTATGACGTTCTCGCTATTCAGGAACCGTGGAAGAATCCCTTCATGTCAACAACACACCATCTCGTCAAGGACATCTTCCACCTCTGCTATCCAGAAATCAACAAAGAGGATGGCCCGGTAAGAGTATGCTTCTTCGTTAATAAAAGGCTCGACCACAGCGCGTGGAAGTTCGAACAACACACAAAGGACCTGTGCACGCTGAAGATTCGTATAGGCGGGGCAGATGCGTCAAGCAACAAGCTGGCCATACACAACGTGTACAACGCAC